CTCTAAGCTGTTAACGGCAATCTTTAAGCTTATCTAAGGATTTTATGTGAATCAGGGTCATTTATGGCTTCTATTTGCATCATTCCAATTTGCAATCAGACAACATTGATTTCTAATTGATAATTACCCGCTTGCCAAAGTGACAAGTAGAATTGCAGGAACCACAGACGTCTGATTGAAAATTGGAATAGTGTAAATCTATGCTATCAGTGTCCCTGATATACATAAAATGTTTAGAAAAACTCTATGACGACTCTCAAATTGAGTAAATATTATTACTATAAGAAAAGGCAAAAAAGTTTTTTGGCACAAATAAAACAGGCAGAATTAGCTTGCATCTAATGCATTGCAAAGAAATTTACAAAAATGTGTGATAGCTTTGCAAAAGAATTACTTAAAAATTATGATTTGCTTTGTAAAATATCTTCACTTGATATAAAGAGACAGCTTTTAAGATATTTTTCCATTTGATACAAAAATATAACATTTAGTGATGGATTTACCAAAATGATAATAAAATATAGCATTTCATGACAGATACAAAAATTTACTATTAACGAATACAGAAGACAGCTTTGCATTAAATTGTACCATTGAACAAAAAAAAACCAAAAAAAAACTCTATGATGGATTTACCAAATGATGCAAAAATACTGACTGAGTATTCTAGAAATAATCTTAGCACTAAGATGTCCTAGGGTAGGGTCCTAGTAACTTTAACACTGTTTCTAGGATATCCTAGCACTAAGATCGTTTAGAGAAAACATGGCCAACATTTCGGTACAAAAGTTCACAATTTGAGGATACACTCAGACATTTTTTCATAAAGTACCAAACAACCAAAAAATCAAACATTTTGTGATGGATGTCCTAACTAAGACATACCAGATATATTCTGCCAAATGATATGAAAAAAAATTATTAGAAAAAAACTTTTTGAAAGTTATCGACCATCTATTCATTACATGAGACATTTCAAATTGGATTTGAGCAAATTGTTAAAGTAACATTAAATAACTTAATGGATAAAAGCTTTAGAAACCTTTTCCCCAAAACAAAACAAAAACTTTTAAATGATTAAACATTGCACAGACTTTTTATAACCATCCAAAAAAGATAGTTCCACCTTATATTATTGGCACTCTTTTCACACCACGACCAGTGTTTTCGAGAGTGTTGGTGTCGGGAATCTTAGTCCCTTCTTGTTATAACACAACCTCATTTGCATATTGACTTAAATTGTCATTTTGAATAACGTCAGTTTACTATAGACTGAACTATTCATTGAAAATTAAAAAAAAAAAAAAGAATCAGAACCATAACAAACAGTGACAAAATAATTTGCAACCAAAACAAATTTTTTTTATAATTCATCAGATGAAAGCAAAACTTAAAAAAGACAAGATTATGTTAAACTACAGCTCTAAGAGATGATAGAAAAAATATTGAAAAAAAAATATTGCACAACCAAACAGCAAGATCCTATTTGATAGCACGAAGACATTACTTAAATCCTATTTGATAGCACTAAGACATTACTTAAATCCTATCTGATAGCAATGAAAGGGTTAATCAAAAATAACATTACTTAAATCTTTTTTTATAGCAATGAAACATTACTTAAATCCTATTTGATAGCACTTCATGGGTTTATGGAAATCAAATAAGAAATAGAATTGAATTCTATCATATCATTACTTAAATCCTTTTTGATAGTACTGAAACATTACTTAAATCCTATTTGACAGTACTGAAACATTACTTAAGTCCTATTTGACAGTACTGAAACATTACTTAAATCCTATTTGACAGTACTGAAACATTACTTAAATCCTATTTGACAGTACTGAAACATTACTTAAATCCTATTTGATAGTACTATATTAAATTCCAGAATAACATTACTAAATCCTATTTGATAGTACTATATTAAATTCCAGAATAACATTACTAAATCCTATTTGATAGAACTAAATAAAATTAGAATTTTAAATTCTATCATAACATAACAAAAATCCTATTTGATAGGCATTTCATAAATAACTTACTGCAAAATCTTAACAACTTAATAACAAGATTATATTAGAAAATTTGAAGGAAAAATAGAGATTATGGACATTTTCTTTCCAAGGGTACTGAGGGCGTATGAACTACGGTAATGATTTCATTCAAATTTATCATCAATTCCAAAATTTCCGAAAATGCGGACAGAGTCTGTATGGTCTGAAACTCTACAGACTGCACAAGCAAGTCCAATATATTTTTACTCAGTAACTAGGTTACTTCCCTTTAACTGTCAGCCATTTTAAATTCCATTAGTGGCATGTAGCAACTGGGGTATGAATAACTAGACACAATTTTATGGATAACAATTACTTCAATAAAATATCTTGCGACATTTCGATAAAGACAGAAGAACCTTCGTTGAAACGTCACAAGTAATTGTTATCCATATAATTGTGTCCAGTTATTTTAAAATTCAACAGAAATGATTTTTGCAAAACCGGGCCTTGGGCCACAGTCTCCTTTAAGGTCCTCACAATGTTAAGCTATTACTAAATTCTTATACCTTGACTAAAATAGCCACCTTTTGAGGGTTCTGATTGACTGTATTTGCCAAGGTACAGTCCAATCAAATCGCTGCATTCTGTTAAACAAAAAAGGTGGCTATTGCACTCAAGATTTAAGACGAAGTTTGCAATAGCTTGACATTGTGAAGATGGCTTAAAGTGATCATCCCTTTTAGGGTTTAACTTAAAAAATATTTATCTATTATGGACAATTCCTTGTAAAGGACAGTAGATTTTTAACCAGGAATATCTTCCTATTACATAGACCATTTTATCACAGGGATTATAAAGAGGTTTTTTCTGGCCTTTGAATATACAAGAAACACTTTTAGCTTTTGATTATACCATTCTAATTTTTTTATGTGTATCAGGAACACTTATTATAGCTTCTATTTATACCATTCTTGTCCAATGCCTGTGGTTCTTGGAATTCTTGTAAAACTTAAAGGTTATGCCACTTAATCTTCTGATAGTGATGCCACAAGCTGGTCAAGTTATTCTCTGGAATTACAGGAACCACAGGCATTGGATTGGAATTAAGAATAGCAAAAACACAGAGTGTCCCTCACTCAAAAAGGCAGAAAAAAACTTGGAAAAACTCTTTCTAATCCCTTTAAACAAACCTTTAAGAGACAGGTGCGACAATTTGAGGGGTTGATTTTTGACTTAACATTCAAACACAGATAATTCTGGACACACATGGACTTGAAGGCTCAAATTTCGATGGTGAGCTGTGAACACTATTATTGATTGGCTTAGCTAAAAAATTCCCATTTGTGAGACTAAAGTATGATTGTTAAAAACAAATGGCGCACCTGTCCCTTTAACTCTAAAATCATGCATAGCTACTTAATGCTTTAAAAGCATTCAAACTAAAGCTGGTATCACAATAAACTAAATATCCAAACCAAACATTGATCATACCTATAATCAAATATTTGCCGGAAATATTGCAAACTTTATCTTTCGCTGTCTGAAACCACAAAGCTTAAAAAAGTTTTTTATCAACGTGCTCAACACAAAAATGATTTACCTCAAAAGTTGAAAGTGATTTATAAACAAGCTCAAAACAATCATACTGCAAAGCTTAAAAAAATGTTTTATCTCAAAACTGAACATTGTGTTACGTAAAAAAGCTCAAAACAAAAATATCATGAAGCTTAAACAAGTTTTATCCTAAAGCTCATTTTCAAAATTGTGAAGCTCAGAATTGTTGTTTGGATTAGTTCAAAACCTAATAGGCATATACATGTAAATGTTTTCAAGTCAATTAGTCAAAGCTCAAAAAAGGTTCTTTAAGCTCAAAATATATTTTGGAAAAATTAATGGGAACTGAACTGTTTCATTGCCAAACTCAAAAATTGTTTCATAGCAAAACATTGCTAAATAATATACAAGTCAGTTCTTTGAGCTCTAAAAAAATGTCCAATGATGTCAAGGTATTAGACAGAGTTTCCAATACCTTGACATACATTGTGCAGATGACAACCAGAAACCAATTAATGACATAAATTCTCCTATTTAACCTAGTTCAATTGCACTCAAATTTAAATACATCTTAAATATAGCTTAAAAATTTTGTTTTGTTTATATTCTGTGGGTTACTTCACTCAATTAAGATCTGACAACATTCTACTTTTCATCAAGACTTTGACACCTTTGGTGTAATGATCAAGACAAACCAACAAAGTATTTGATTGGATGATAAGATGGACAACGTTTGCAATATTGCCTACTTCATAGATACATACAAACAATAATAACAATAATAATAATAATATTAATATTAATAATAATAATAATAATAATAATAATAATAATATTAATAATAAGTTTTAAATGTACAAGTAAAATGTACATAATTCTTAGAAAAACAAACAAACACCAAATAGAATCTATAAATATCTTACACGAAACAATTTCATTGTTATTTTATCAGAAAGTATCTTTTCAAAACATTATCACAGGATCTTCATAGTTTCAAACATTTTCCCACGATTCCCTGTCCTGTCTGGAGAGTTCTCTTTCTCAGCTCTTTCTTCTTCAGTTCAAAGTTCAAAAAAATTATCCTCCCATTATTCTTCCTATAAAACCAACGGTCCTGATGATGATGGGGATTTTTTTCAGAACTCTTCAACAACATAAGATCAGCAACAGTCCATCAGTTTCAGATGATGAAGCCTCGCAGAAAATTCCATACCATCACCATGGCAACCAACTTAACAATCTCAGCATGTATTTTCCTTTTTTAGAGTCAAGATTTTCAAATGGTGTCATCACACGATTTCCACTTGACCTTCATGACATCTGGATGCCCAAAAAACAAATGTCATAGGTCAAAGTTCACATCTGCTCACGAATAACCAAAGTCGTCTGACAATGCTTTGAAAAGGGTTTCAAACAAATTATAACAATAATAATAATAAACTGTTAATTTCCGAGTGGAGAGAAAGGCATCGTATCCAATAAACGAGATGGAGCTGTTGGTAATGTCATGTGATCCGTTGCCATGGGATTAACCATCATGTGTGGCAGACGATGCGAGAGCCTCATGGCCGAATTATTAAAATTAGCACTATAGTGTTGATGTGCTGGGGTGATGGTCGACGGGGACAAATGGCGGTTGATATGATTAATATGGGCAGGGTATGGATTCCCGGTGACGTTCAGGTTTAACGATGGATACGGACTAGGCGACGTTGGATGATCAATGTGATGACTCGGTAACGGAGAATACAAGTCTCTTGATGACTGATGCGCCAAGGATCCATCGCTGATTGATCCAATAGATGTGGGTATCGTCGAACTCGGTCTTCTGGTAATAGATTGATTTGAAAACATTTGAAGTGAAGCAGACGCCAAAGGCTCATGTAGCAGCAATTCTCGTTGTGCTCGACGTTCTAATGAGTTGATATCGTCATGGTGATGATCGGAGACCGAATTTGAAAAAAGGCTGTTGTGAAGTTGACCATTGGAGGCTCTCTCACCCAAAGAGAGGCTGTCTCGTAATTGTTGAGCATTTTGTGACAATTGTCTCTCTCTCATGGCGTGACGTAAATCTAAATTATGATCCACTCGCGTAATGACACAATCTGTCGGGTTCCCGTTCTCCCGGTTACGCAGGGGCACCATCGTGGGAGAATTATACATTGTTGGGTTCTTCTGCTTACGCTTTCGTTGACGGTTCGCGAGGTCCTGGATTTGATGCTGGTCTAAAGGCTTGATGTGAATGTGCATCTGAAACAGAAAGTCAAAATATGACCTTGACAACAATGACCTCCATTGTGACCTTGAAGAAGTCTGTTCATGTACATGGTACACATCATCAATAAAAAGAACAATTTATAGATGCTTGTATAAGTATAAGCTGAGAGCAGGGATCCTCAAAACAAGTTTTTTGACAGTCATAGCGCAAACAAAACAAAACAAAAACACGGCAAAATGGATCCCGGGTAGATTTAAAACAAATAATTGAAAAAAAAAGACATTTTTAAAGTTTCGCTGTCATTTAAAAATGGGGCATTTGCCTCAATTGCTTCCATTACACTCCTGCATCGGTTTTCAACCTTTTTCATTCTCACACCCCTTTCAGGCTCCTTGAAACGATTTCATTGGAGATAATTACTCTCCATTTAAAAACCCCTATACTACTGCCTTGTACAATCTTATTTTCTTAACATGGAAGGGAGATAACTTACCTTTAACGTGTGAGATTTAAGGCTACTTTCATTCGTGTAACAACGATGACAAATTAGGCATTTAAACTGTTTGGTTGCTGCCTTTTTAACTTGATCGTCATGGTTACGTAGATGATGTTGTAGGTTTGATAACTGGGCGAAGGCTCGTTCACATCCTTCCACGTTACATCGGTACGGCTTCTCGCCTGAAACATAAATCATACAAGATTTGAAATTTTAATTAATTTTTCCAACCTTGGCACTCCTTGGGAAGTCTAAACAGGCTCCAAACTGGCTGCAAAAAAAAACCAACAGAAACAAGAAACAATAATATTCCACATGAATATAGATGATCTCTAATATCAGCTGGACTTTGGTCCAACTTCCTGGTAATTGACCTTTCTTCATAAAATCAGTCATCCAATAATTCATTTATTAAATCAGTCATTCATTCAATTTATCAAATCAGTCATTGATTCACTTTATCAAATCAGTCATTCATTCAATTTATCAAATCAGTCATTCATTCAATTTATTAAATCAGTCATTCATTCAATTTATTAAATCAGTCATTCATTCAATTTATTAAATCAGTCGTTCATTCAATGAGTCATTTATTAAATCAGTCATTTATCAATTAAATCAGTCACTCAATAAAAGGAATTATTTCCATGATTCATTTATAGTATCAGTTAGCTGATTTGCTCATTAATCAGTCAACAATATTAAATCAGTCAGTCAACAATTCATATGAAATTCCATTTATTCAAATCAGTCACTCAATTTTTCATTCGAAAGTTCCCTCGTTATTTCAATCTTTCGTTCATTCATTTATTCATTCATTGACTAAATCAGTCAGTCAATAATTCATTCGAATATCTATTTATTCAAATCAGTCACTCAATTATTCATGTAGGAATTCCCTCGTTCATTTTCATTCATTCATTCACTGATGCATCTATCAAATCAACTGTTATGATATTGATTTTTTAGAGATAAAAAAACAGGTCAAAAGAAACGTTATTGGCATTTGATCAATCTATAAAAACTATCAAGTTAGAAGAGTATTGATTTTTTTCACAATCACTGATTCACAAGTCAATGATTAGGAACAGTCTAGTAGAGGGTTATCTGAACATTCTGTTATAACTTATTATAGCACAAGTAAATCACTTTCACAATAACTTAAAGGAAGAAATTGGCCACCAATCGTACCATAGCTAAGCTTCTCATTAATAGTGTTCACAGCTAACTGTCAAAATTTGAGCCTTCAAATCCATGTGTGTTCAGAATTATCCGTTTTTGAAAGTTAAAATGACGACTCATCATCATAAATGGAAATATTAAGTGAAAGTCCTAGTTTTAAGTATTTTTTAAAGGAATTATGCAATTTTCATACATTTTTAGTACTTATAAAGACTATTTACATATATTCAAGACTAAAATTAACCCCTGAAAATTGGCCTACCTGTCCCTTTAAATACTAAGGATATATAACTTAAGCACACAAAATAAATAACTTTAATGCCTTTAAGAAGTAAAAAACAAGTTAAAAACTTAAGCACACAAACTAGAAAATATGTGCATCAAAGGCAAAATTAAGCACACATAATAAATTACTTCAATGCAACCAAATATATAACTTCAATTCCTAAAAGGAATAAAACTAGTTATAAACTTGAGCAAATTTAAAAACTGTACTAAATGCTAACTGATAAGCTTTACCTTTTTAGATAAACTATAGCTTATATATATGTGTAATGTATAATTCTTCATTTATCAAAACCAAAAAAACTTGAGCCCCAACTAACTTGAACCCCAGTAAAAACTAACTTGAGTACTTGAGCACTAAAGATAAACAACTTTAGCCCATTAAAAACTAACTTGAGTACCTAAGTACCAAAGATAAACAACTTGAGTTCATCAACAATTAACTTGAGCCCCATTAAAAACTAACTTCTGCACCAAATAAATTTACTCCTGAGCAAATAAGAAAGATAAAAAGTAACTAAATAAAGTGTTGACATGTAATGAACTGTCTTATACATATATATATATATATCTTAGACACCACAAAAAAAAAAAAACATAATTCATCTCTGATAGCATAGAGAATAAACAAAAAACAAAAAACAAGTGTGTTGTTAAAACTATTTAGAGCATGGAGATTCACATAATGAGTTTCTTTTTAGTTATAATTTTTATGCAACAGCTTTTCAGCTCATTTTTTCTACTTATTAAATAAAATAATAAATAGATAAATATTGTAATAATCAAAAAACCTGAGATTAAAGTAATTGCCGAGACACTGTTAGAATCAATTTGCGCCATTCCAATTCTCAGTAAGATGTCTGTGGTTCTTGCAATTTCACTAAAACGTTTTTTTTTTTTTTTTCAAATTAAACAGATTCATCTAGTTTTTTTGTCGCTTTTTCAACATTGATAAAGCGTGGGATGAATACTTACTTAAAGAGGAACAGTCGATATTTTCAGGGATTGATTTGGGTCTTGAATGTGGCTTTAATAGTCTTAAGAAGTACTAAAACTAAATCTTATAATTCCTTCAAATATAACTCAAACTAGAAATTTCACTGTCTATTTCTATATATGTGTTTTCTTTATATGGCACAGTCTCACTAAAATTCAAGTTGAAATTTTAACTTTCAAAAGTGAATAATTATGGATACACTTGGACGTAAAGACTCAAATTTGGACGATGAATAATACATGATGCACATTTAAAGGCTCGAAGTTGAGCTGTGAACACTATTACTGATTGTGTAAGCTAAAAAAATTCCTGTTTCTGAAACTAAGGTATGAACAGATAGCGAAGGTGCTTATTTAACCAATGGTCACTATTAAATACAAATAAAACTGGTAGGACGTTCTGAAAAGTTCATAGGTTGACTAATAAGGAGTTATGCCACAGCAATGAAACTTGATATAACAATTTCTGATAATAACAGCATTGTTTTTTTTGATTGAGTTTTTCAAGATGTTAAAATCAGAGGCAGAATTTTTGCCTTCTTTCAAGGGGAGAAAAGGTGTGTTTCCATTGTTTGACCGCCATCTTGTCTCTGGCATGGATCCAACACTCATCTTGGCTGAAATGTTATTCAAGGAAACTAGCGAGATCTGCTAAAAAAAGTGTCATTGACCAAACTTCCCTCCCCCCCCCCCCCCTTCCCTTTGTAGTGTTAGTAAAAGGCTTACAAGGTTCAGACATTATTTTTCAATACCACCCTAGACTCTATCACAAGCTTGATAAAATTAATTTATTCATAACCTAATAGAGGTGAACATCTTCAAATGTGAATTTTTCCAATCAACATGTTCATTATTACCATTGTTTGATGATGGAAAAAACAGAGATAAACTTATACAACAAAACCTGCTGGAGCTTGTTATAATAACGATACACTTGAATGTCATTTTTTTATGTATAGTATTATCATATCATTTGCATACAAAATGATTTGCTACGCGTCATGCCTTTTGACAAAACAATTAAAGGGATTGTACAAGATGTTTTCTGAACTTTTTATGTGTATCAGGGACACTGTTAACATCAATTTTCACCATTCCATCACAAAAGATGCTAATATTATCCACGGAACTTCGTGATAACTAAGTCATTAAAGGATTTGTTGAAGTAAAATAGCAAGAACCACAGACGTCTGCCTGAAAATTACACCATGCCCCCTCCTCATGCCTGTAAAAGGAAAATTAAGCTATCAAAATTCATCACAGAACATCTGAAATCTAATGTCTTTCTCTGTTTCAAGGTGCTTCAGCTCTTAAATCATAGAAATATCTCTTATTTTGCTCCTCCCTCCACTCTAAGGCCCTTTCTAGACATAACCCTGTTATCCAATACACGTAAAAAGTATGGAAAACCTCTTTACAATCCCTTTAATTTATGCAAATGAAAGCCCACATGACAATGAAATACGGGACGTTCTATCTTTTGCATATTATCATATTGATTTAGATGCCTATTGTTCCTGACTATCAGGTTTTAGAAATTCTATGTCCTGCTTCAGCAACCATAAATAACAGTTAACATCTGGTTAAGAGTTTTAGCAACACCCTGCGTTGTGCAATGAGGGAACTTTTGTCATCAGCATAAGCCTACTATTTTCTGATTTTTAAAATGTCAAAGGATTTTTAAACACACAGCCAGCGTTATAATCTAACAGGTTTTCTTCTACAGTTCTGTTCAAATGATATTATTTAACCAATCAAAGCATGCCTCAATTCTTGCTCTTAATGATGAATTGTGGGAAGGCAAAACCTAAAATAGAACAATATGACAACCTCCTTGGGACTTGCTATCCCAGAATTCATGTCATAAAGAATATGATGCACCTTGATCGGCTGTGAAATTATATCATTACGAAGTAAATATGTTAAAAAAAATCTGATTATAATGGGGTAAAAAAAATATATCAGAAAAAAAAAAAGGAAAAAAAGGAAATTTAATTAGATTCGCAGCGCACTGTGGCGCTGTGGTTAATTGTCGCATTCTAATCACAATAAAAAAAAAACCTTTAACAATCATTCCTATTCAAGATCCACTTCATTCTTACCACAAAAACCTACCATTTTCCATCCAGGCCAGATTCCTAGGGCAAAGAGCTACCTTTTCAATCTATTCCAGAAGTTCATTCTTAACACAGAAAAGATACCTTTTTCAAATCTATTCGAGATCCCCTAGGTTTTTTCTTACCACAAAAACCTACACTTTCAATCTATTCCAGAAGTTCATTCTTACCACAAAAACCTACATTTTCAATCTATTCCAGAAGTTCATTCTTACCACAAAAAACTACATTTTTCAATCCTTTTTCACTCTATTCCAGACGAAAGTTCACTCAGTTTAAAATGTTTTTTGATTGAATATGATTAATACGTTCCACTACACAGGTTCCATTAATAATACTGATTAATCTAATTAATAAGAACAAATGAACTTAACTATTTCTACCACCTACTTTGCTGCACTTTCAAGGGCATCTGAGAATAGCAAAAGAATGCAGTGTGCAATGAGGGAAATTTGGGACAGTTGCATTAGCCTGTTTTTAGTGTAGTTTAAGGCATGTTGAGACAGAGCCTGGACTTTATTTATTATCCCAATGAGGATGGTCAACTGCATGCAGTGTTCGATGAGGACAGTGGCATTTCGCCTTCCTCCTTTCAAGGGTAATTTATGTGATGTTTGTGGACACAGTGTGTGACATAAGAGACTCAAAGAGAGGATGGCCAACACCTTGCAGTGTTCCATGAGTGTTCATTTTAGACTGTGGCATCAGCTTACCTTATCTTAATGCCAGGTTAAAGGATGTTTTAGGACACAGCCTCAAATAGATGGCCAACACCCTACAATGGGCTATGAGAGAAATTTTGCCCAAAAAGTGGCATTAGCCTACCTAGTCTTAGTGCCAGGTTAAAGGATGTTTTAGGACACAGCATCAAATAGATGGCCAACATCCTACAATGGGCTCCCCTAAACTTGTAGCATTTGAGGTATCATCTTGACCTATTCCAGAATTGAACACTGGACCCTCATGTTCACAGCAAGCTTCTAAATCACAGAGCCACCATGGCTCCAGTAAATGCAGTAAAAAATCCTGTCTGCATAAAATATTATAGAACAAATTGAGAATTTCTTCAGCACGACACATTTCTAAAATCATGCCAAAAGAATTCTACAATCTGCAGAAAATTGGCATAAAAAAATGTGCATCTGAATATTGATTCCACTGGGATAAAAATAGCGTGTATTAAGGTGGGTTCACTTTACAAATAACAAACTTCACATTAGATTCACGACTGCACTGGCTGCTAATATTATTTAAGGATCTTAAACATGGCATCATGGCATCATAAACGCTTGGTTATAGTGGAATTATTTCTGATAGAAAATTGGAATGGTGCAAATTTATGTTTTTAGTGTCCTCACATACACATATAAAGTTTAGAAAACCTTTACATTAAGCTAATAATATTTTTCTTAATGTGAAAATAGCTGCACAATAAAAAAAATCATAAAAATTCCACATTTTGACATGACAGCAGAATGTCATGTATTCGGTAGTAAAAAGATACAGATTTTTAACTATGGACATCAAGATTTATAAATGCCATTTATTTCAAAGCCTTCAGCCTTCAGGAATGATTTGTTTTTTTGTAAAATGAAGCCACCTTAATTTTATTCATTTTAAACCTCACAATTGCCTAGCAGTACATGTCAATGCGTTCTAAGAAATTTCTTGGCAACACGCCAAATAGAACTGCAGTCCAATTTTCCTGAAATTCTGCAAATGTGTTTTTTTTCTAAATGCATTGAATTGACCATAAAGTAAAGTTATTGAATAGATTCCAAGAGAAGAAATGGCAGCAGCACCAAAGATCGACAGAAATCAATAATCTCAGAATTGATTCCACAAAAGATTTTTTCTTATGGATTTTTCAATGATTTATGATTTGTTATGCTTGTACCTAAAGAAAATTGAATTTTTTTTCTATTTGATAAATGAGCTTCTTCGAATGTGTTTCTATACTTTTTCTTGAGGAAATTTGATTTTTTTTTTTTTCAAAATAAATTTTGAGGTTCTTGAAATGGATTATCATATCATGGATCATGGATCATCAAATTAACCTTCTGAAATCTGAAACCAATCATATTTTTACCCTCTACAGCACTGACATTTTGTGACATGGTGTGTTTATAAGGTACGGTCAAAAGGTTAATTTGATCTATGTTCAAAATGGCTGTCATTAGACCCTAACTGAAAAGGCTATATCAAAAATTAAAGCTACTGAAAAAAAACCGAAATTTGGTCGAATTATATTAGACTGAACATACACCCAAACACAAATATGATAAGCGCTCATCAACTAAGACCTAAGATCAATAACTCTCTAATTCTCAAGCACTTCAGAGTATACAAAACAAAATGACATCAAATTATAATCCTCTTTTGACAATTTTTGCCTGTATGATATATTGCCAATCAAATTGGAACTGTTTAACTTGTCAGACTGTTTTGACATATTTATTTTAAGACAAGGGCAATAATTCTTTGACACTTTGATTTTCTAGTAGTTTAGAGAATACAAAACAAAACGACATCAAATTCTGATCCTCTTTTTTACAATTTTTGCATGTCTGAAGTCAAATTGGAACTGTTTAACTTGTCAGACTGTTTTGACATATCTATTCTAAGACAAGGGCAATAACTCAGCAAATACTAGACTGAAACAGCTGCTTGTACTGAAAAAAACAGACTTTGTCCCCAATTTCTGAATTCCACAGTATTTTCTCAATTCTTCAGGGTTTTTTTTTTTGGTTTAGTGATTTGAGGTTTTATGTCCTACTTTTAGGATTTTGGGATTCTGAGGGTCTTACTTTATGAGAGACAGGTCTTACTTATTTTTGTGACACAGGTCTTACCTTTGAGATACAGGTCTTACAGCTTAGGTCTAAGATATAGAGATTTGAGTATTACTTTTAAGACACACACCTTACTTTTGAGAACATGTCTCACTTTTGAGATATAGGTGTTACTTTAGAGAAAAGATCTCACTTTTTGAGATATAGGTCTTACTTTTTGAGATATAGGTCTTACTTTTTGAGATAGAGGTCTTACTTTTTGAGATAGAGGTCTTACTTTTTGAGATAAAGGCCTTACTTTTTTAGATAGAGGTCTTACATTTTGATATAGGTCTTACTTTTTGAGATAGAGGTCTTACTTTTTGAGATAGAGGTCTTACTTATTGAGATATAGGTCTTACTTATTGAGATATAGGTCTTACTTATTGAGATATAGGTCTTACTTATTGAGATATAGGTCTTACTTATTGAGATATAGGTCTTACTTATTGAGATAGAGGTCTTACTTATTGAGATATAGGTCTTACTTATTGAGATATAGGTCTTACTTATTGAGATAGAGGTCTTACTTATTGAGATATCTTTAAAAGTCACGTCAAGTTCCTGGAATTATCTGTCTTTGTAAACACAGCAAAAACGTGACCTTGGCCTGTAGTCCTGTACCCTTATGAATACTGACATGAAAAGTTCATTTAATGATTTAGAAACCCTACATGTCTATAACTCTTGATTAAAAAATTCAATTATTAATGTAAAAAAAATTGAATTTCAAAACTCAACCATGTTAATATGGACCCTAGGGGAGGACTTTCATCCAAACAAAAGAAACCATAAAAAGTATTTTGAAAAATAAAGATCAGACAATTTTGATTAATATTTGAAAGTTAAGATCGCAGTGACCTCAACAAAATTTCTTAACAGAAAAAGAAAAAAAGAAGCCCTTCAACTTTTATAATTTATTATTTTGTTGTCCAAGATAATATATCATAATTAAAAATATAGTATTTAAAAATATTCTGGTTTATTTGTAAGGGCCATGTCTTATTCCAAAGTCAGTCTGAATCCCTAGAATAAAATCAAAATCCAAACAAGCAGAATTATTATTATTTATTTCCCTGTCTAAGATGGGTCTATAATAATTCAAATAAGTTTCAATTTCATTTTTCTTTTAATTGTAAAGAGCAATGCCTTATTCTGATGTCTGTCCTAACCTCAAAAAGAAATTCAAAATCCATCCGCAGACAACATTCTCGAAGGCAGAACTATTAAAATTTATCCCTGTCTAAGATGGCTATATCATAGGCTGTAAGAATCATTGTAGTTTCAAGTTCTGATTTTAGACGCTTCACAAATCCATGTATTTCCTTTATACGTAACTTATCTCCCTTTTTGATAACTTCCGGTTTCTTGGGCGTACTGCTGACTATTAGCTTAGAATATTCTAAGACAGACAGAAATACAGGGGAACGAGGTTTATAATCTTTTTATTAATAATAATCTAGTTATTAATATATCGATCGACATTTCTATAACGTTTAGGATATTGCATAAGTTATTTACTCAGCATATTTCACATTTATTTCTGTGAGCACGTTTTCTTCCACAAGCGGTGTCAATGGAAATTTCATTCCATATGTTTAAGTCCGGCTTTGTTATAAGCGGTGTAGAGTTTGCACTTGTGTACCATGCAGTGTCTCATGCTATGAAATTTAGCTTCCCTATGAAATTCGGTATCCCCTACAGTAAAAGGTCATAAATTAGTAAGAAAATTCATTAAGTATAAGTAAGATTAAGATGATTGTATTGTATACTTTCAGTTTTTACGGATTGTAATGGATTGATGGGTTATGATATTTTAAGATATGATAAGATATGATAGAAAGAATAAAAGATATGATGATATTGTAATTCTTGATGTCCTGATCCTGTAAAGCCTACCCCACAAATGACAAATTGAATGTTCGAATGTCATTACATAGGCCTAAAATAATTAAATTAAGTTTTAACTTAATTTTTCTAGGTTAATTGTTAATTCCAATGTCAGTCCTAACCTCAAAATCCATCCACAGACAACAATTCTAGAAGGCAGAACTATTATAATCTATTATTTTAGCTCACACATGGATATATTAATTAATGAAATAAAATGAAATGAAGTTCTATATTTGCTTGATAAAAAGTAGCAATCTAAGAATTTCCTGTAAACCCCTTAATTCCATGGTCCCTACTCTTCTGTCACTGCCACTACCTCTTTAATCAGCATGGGCTGCAGTTGAAAATCTACAGTGAGACACACTCAGTGAAGGAATGCTATTTGGCTAGTAGAGTGAGTCTATATAATATATCAGCCTATAGTGTAGATATTATATTAGTGGTTTGACTTATAGACTAGACTATTAATAAATGAGTGTATTAACTTGTCTGACTGATTCAGACATATACGGATGGTTTGAAATTAAAATTCACAGGGCAAGATAGTCCAGGTCAGCGTGACATGAGGGCTACCAAACATACTGGGGACATTTAAGGTTGGTTTAAAGTACACAGGGCAAGACAATCAGGTCGATGTGACCTAAAGGCTACCCAGCATGCTTGGGTACTCAGACATGTACGGTTGGTTTAAAATACACATGGCAAGACAGTGAGGTCGGTGTGACCTTAAGCAATACTTGGTATGCTTTGGGCTCAGACAATCACGGTTGGTTTAAAATACACAGGGCAAGATAGTCATGTCGGCGTGACATAAGAGCTACCCAGCATGCTTTGGGAACTCAGACATGTACGGTTGGTTTAAAATACACAGGGCAAGACAGTCGGGTCGGCGTGACCTTAAGCAATACTTGGTATGCTTTGGGCTCAATCACGGTTGGTTTAAAATTCACAAGGCAAGATAGTCATGTCGGCGTGACCTTAAGCAATACTTGGTACGCTTTGGGTTCAGACAATCACGGTTGGTTTAAAACAGAGCAGTTTGACAGGATACCATAGATTCAGACAATTACGGTTGGTTTAATATACACAAGGCAAGATAGTCAGGGTCGATGTGACTTAAGGTAAAATTATGCAATTTATGTTATACATAAAGTGTGGAATGAGGTAAATTTTTCCAGGAAAGATATTTTCAAATTACAATAGATTATTATAATGTTCACAACCTTTACCGCAAAATTTTGTCTGATCAGATGAAAAATGGAAGAAAGGAAGCAAAAAAAACACATCAATCATGATATGCTCAAAAATTTCATAAAATCACTAAACTGTGCAACTCTCAAGCACAATCTAAAATAATCGAAGCAAAAAAGAAAATTTTTTCGAAAGCTAGATTACATAAAAAAAATCTTCAGATATTAACAATCGATATAAAAAGCAAAAATAATACGTGGCTTAAGGATATATATAGATTAGAAGATTCTTTAAAGAAAAAAAACCAACATGGTTCAATGTTCGAATGAGCTTGGCATGTATTGAGCCTAATTAAAATCAGACAAACTTAGGTTCCTTTTTTTAGCTTTTATTTTTAACATAGCCACGTCAGTTAGGGTCTAAAGACAGGCATCTTAAACGTTTGTCAAATTAAGAAACACTGTGTCACAATATGCCAGCACTGGAGAGGGTACAAATTTGATTGGTTAAGGCAGATGTCTTCGAGTTCAAAAGGTTAAAAGATTTTGTGACCTGCGTATGACCTTAATTATAGAAACGTTCAGATCAAAAATATTTATCAGAATCTGGTAAGAATCAGAATTATAAATATTGAATAGCTGATAAATATAAAAATATATCTATGAAGTACTGAAGCACTGGCACAGGCATGGTATATAACCCTAACCCCTATACTAGTCAAAATATCTGACTTTCAATTCCATAAATATTGAATACACTACCACCCTGCATTAGCTGATAAATATAAAAATATATCTATGGTAAGGTTACTCTCAGAAGCACTGGCACAGGCATGATAAGGGATAGACTGTAGAAATTAAACTTATATGACCCTTAAGCCTATATATTAACCTGTCCAAAATATCTATTCAAAGGTAGGAATGAGTAAATTTCAATCTCATAAAAAACTATGGTAAGGTATACTCTCAGAAGCACTGGCACAGGCATGATAAGGGATAAACTGTCGAAATTGAAGGTATAAGGCCCTAAAGCCTATACCAGTCAATATATATATCAAAAGACGGCAAGGATGAGTAGCTTTGAGTCTCATAAAAATGAAGAGTACAGGAAGGCAGGATAGATGTCACTATGACAATGTCACTGATGACATATTGCACAAAAATGTCATCTAAAAAAAAATCTCTTCAAATAATATGTATTGAAACTTTAACATTTTCGTTTGAAAATCAATAATACTCCAAGTTTTTATGAACTTATCTGCGTTGGATTTAAACTGTTCTATGATATTCAAAAAAAACTACTAGAAACTGAAATTAGGTTTTACATAATATATTGTGAATAACCTTACAAATGAAATGATATTTTTAGGTTTCACATTCAACATTCAGAGGTTTTAAGGACTCATCCATGTTGGATTTAAGCTGTACTGAAAATGAATAAGGTTTTACATAATATATTGTGAATAACCATACAAATTAAATAAGGTTTTTAGGTTTTACATTCAACATTCAGAGGTTTTATGGAATTATCGGTTTTTGTACATGTGCTAATCAGGTTTTACATAATATATTGTGAATAACCTTACAAATAAGTTTTTTTGGTTTTATTGTAGGTTTTACATATAACATTCATAGGCTTTATGAATGAGACAAGTTCAACAATTTTTGGGCGTTGATTTAGGTAAAAAAGTAAACAGTCTACAGACGTAAGAGAACAGCCAATCACATTCCTTCAAAAATGCCGCATGTCTACTCTATATATGGTGGAGTATCGAGAAAAAACAAATCGTCATTACAAACTTTCAAACGCCGAAAATTCTGGTGAAAATATTGTACTGAATCATACTAGAATGATGAAATAATTATTATATAAGGCTTTTCATAGCTATAATTGTGGAGCTTTTATCAATAATCACAAACATGTATGATCTAACATTTTTTACATCTTTTTTGATTGGATATTTTCAGTAGAAAAAAAGGGAAACAGCTTGATTTATAATCTAATAATTTATAATTGCATAACTTATATTATAAGGACTTTTTATGTAACAGCCAGATTTGCGTTTAAAGAGATTGTAAAGAGGTTTTCTAATTTTTTTCTTGTATATGTATCAGGGATACTGACATCATCAATTTGCACCATTCCAATTTTCAATCAGACGTCTGTGGTTCCTGCAATTCTTTACAATCTCTTTACAATCTC